CCCCAAAACCCCAAAACCCCAAAACCCCAAGATTTTTAAAAATTTTGAGGATGTTATATATTATTAAGATCATGCTTCTTTTGCTTGTACTGGGATTCGATAGTATGGAGAAAAGCAAACAGGACATTTGCTCGTTCCCAATAAGTAGAGATCTTGTTAGCCTGACCTAAAAAGGTGAGAAAAAGATTACATTTAATACCAATATCAGTGCAATAGCCAATTCTGAAGAATTTCTTCTTCAGAATTGATTTTTTAAACTGACGTTTCTGTTTAAAGAGCCTATCAGCTTTGGCTTTCACTGTCTGTAGTTTCTCACTAGAGATGAGGTAGGTCTTACTCATGGATGTATGAAGAAGGCTGGATAGTGATAGATAACTTCTTTCTTACTTTGGAATTTTTAGAGTTCATATTAAAAGAATGCTTAGTCTTATTTCTCCTTCTGACCTCCCTTTCCAGTAGAAGCTCTTCTGATATTATTCATGATGTGGTTGGAATTCTTTAAACTTTGGTTCTACACGATAAGACTAGAATTAGAACCTTTTTATTTGATTTGACGCGTCCTGATTTCCTTGACATGACTATTCCAGTCCCTAGAAATAGCTGGTAGATTACTTGAGTTTGTAGTTCATTTTTGATTCCTTTTCAGAAAGATCTAGCTGATCGATCCTATTTGAATAGTTAGACTGGGCTCGGTTTTTCATCTTACTACAAAATTACTAACGCTGTCTTACTATTTTGGAAGGGCTGCTTCCTCACTGACTTCAATTTCAGGTGCCATACCAATGAAATTAGTGAAAATATCCTTATTTCTCACCTAAAGATTATTTCGTCGCCTACAGAGTTGTCCAATATTCCTAATTTTTATGAATAGCTTGTTGTTCTGCTCGAAATCCGAGTCTCTGTAGCACTTGGTGCTGAGCCTGTTGACCTTCTTAGGCTTATTCCTGATCATATTCTTGTCTTCCTTGATCCTAAAGAGAGTTAATACTCACAACTTTACTTCTTGGTAATCTCAAGTAGAGGGTTAATCCTTTTAAATGAATAACTTGGAGTTGTCGGCTCGTATTTTAGAGTCATAAAATCACGAGAATCTTCAATCTTATTTGGTAAACTCCCTTTCCTTGATGTGTGATGTGTCTATGAATTCTTCAATTTTGTACTTATCCAAGTCAACTATTGAGTCTTGCAGTGAAATCTTTCGCTTATTAAAATTAGTGCTGTTTCCAAATATTGAGCCAAAGTCCCTTTTTAGTCTGGTAAAGCTATATTTAGGACCTCCAAGGGAGCTTCTGAGATCATTCTGGAAGTACCCTCCAGGACCTGGGAGTTCATCATTTGATGTACTCTCCTCAGGCCTTGAATTGAATCGAAAAGTTGGTATGGATAGTCTCCAATCTCTAATAGATATATTATGCGATGTAGAACTCTCATTCTGTGAGTCAAATCTGCATTTAGAGGTTTCCTTATTCTTCCTATTTTCTATTCCTTGATTTTAGCTCTCTTAGAGGATAAAACCTCATATCTTCATGACTCGCTGCAGATTCCCTCTTAAATGGAGCTAGGTGAGGATTCTCTCTGAAGTATTTGTCAAGCTGATCTGCCTCCCTCCTCTGCTTGGCTGGGGATGTTTTCACCCTATACCTTGTGGCCATTTAAAATTTTAAATAATTTTGGGGTTTTGGGGTTTTGGGGTTTTGGGG